AATAAGAAACTCTGGTATAGAACCAACCAAGAACCTATATTGTCTAACAAATATGTTGACGGAGATGGAGATATTGACTGCATATACGCTAAGGAAACCGCTATATGATAACACACATCAGGTCTTCGAATGGAACTTGAACAGGAAGCGACAAGGGTTCCCGAGGAAAATATGGAGGAGATCATATGAAGTGGAAATGGGAGCTGATAGGCAACAGAAGAGGACAAAGTGAAGTGGAGATGTGTTGCTGAAGACCTATGTCTCACTCAGAATCCAAGAGATGAACAATAAATAAAGATAAGACAGAAATAATATCATAAACTATAGAGTGAGCACGAAAGAGAAAATAAAATTTTCAGAATAATTCCAGATGAAGGAGTACTAACTGCAAGCTCATTCTCAAAAAAATATAAACTTGGTATTACCAACGCCAAATACTGAATTTTCTTTATATTCTTCTTCCCAGTGGAGCATAAGGCTCCAAGTTTTGAGCTTAGAAGTTTCAGTCGCAGTGGTGTTCTTTTTTACAAGGTGGAGTCACTAGCCTGGCGCACAACCTTCGTTCTTTGCCGGATTTACTACCGGCTAAGTAGTGCGTCAGTCGGTGATCGAACTCCGAACCACGTGCATGGTTGGTGAGCATTCTGTTGCTGAACCGCCAACGACGCACAAATGTGGAATAATCTTTCACAATAGATGACTAAAAATATCTAACATTTTAAGCTTTTATCCTGTGACCAGCTGGCATCTTTTTTTACTCCTATACGTTCCCAGTGGAACACAGGGGGCTTCAAGCTAGAGCCAGCTTGAAGTTTCAGTAGTAGTGGTGTCTATTTTTTACGGGATGTAGTTGCTAGCCTCATGCCCAACCTTCCCTCTTTGCCAGTCTTATCACTGACTTAGCGAGGTAAAGGAGTGCGTCAGCCGGGGATCGAACCCCGGACTACCTGCATGGCTGGCGAGCATTCTACGGCTATGCCACCAACGCACTGGCATTTTACGTTGGGTGAATTTACTGCTCAAGATTGAAACATCTATCGTAGTATGAATTCATCAAATCTACTCATAAATACACATTCAACTTCCGGAAGGAAATTTATTAAGACGCAAAGTATATCATTTTGCTTTTTAATCTTAAAGACTAAGTCAGTGAGACCTTTCAGGTAAAATGAATAGCATTATTGATATAAGCATACGACTTAGGCACTGTGTTAGAGTATAACTCCATTATGCATAAGATTTTATTTTGATAAATCATACAGTGGTACAAAGTAATATTAACTGATGACGTTTCGAGCACAATTTATTGCCACTCATAATCATATCAAGTCGCTCACACAACTTTCTTGCTTCATTTATATACATGAGTGAAATTGATGATTAGACATTTGAATAAAATCAGTAGTACAAGATAATGTACATTCAGAAATAATAATATTAGTGTTATCAATCAAATACAATCAGATGGGAAATAAGAGAGTGTTTTTATAGTCAAAATAAGTAACTTGTTAGAATGTTATGATGTACGTGAATTGAAATAGAATTTTAAGATTATTTATTACCCTCCTCTGATAAGACTGATGGTAATAATATCTTCCATATCTCTGGTATTTGCGTTGAGTCACTTCTATTGCATGTGTTGGGTGTAGACTCGATGAACCAGGCAGGATTCAGTAATCAATCTCTCTCTCCACCTACCTAAATTACTTTTTAGAATTTTGACTCTGTCCCACACACCCTATTGTGTGATTGTGTGTTAATGCATGCAGTCCAATTGCTGAGTTGTTTTCCAAATTACTTATCGTGTCAGATCAATCATTCTAGCTTTAGCTAAATTCTTATATTCTGATAATTTTACCACTCCTGATATACTAGTTTGATCTATGAAGTTGACCTCACAGTGATTGCAAGGTATCTTAGAAATTATATCTTTTTTTGTTTAATTGAGTCCACCGGGTCTTTTAGCCTGCAGAGGTTGTCTCTGGGTGAGTTTGTAGGTTTGAATGCTAACCTAATCCTTGTTTTATTGAGAATCCTACGTAGGGCCTCAGATATCTCCTCCTTTTATGACAAAACTGGATGATTGATCCCACGAAGATAAATAATTTGGAAAACAACTCAGCAATCGCACCGCATACATTAACAGTGCACAACCACACAATAGGGTGTGTGGGACAGAGTTGAAATTCTAAAAAGTAATATAGGTAGGTGGAGAGAGAGATTAATTACTGAATCCTGCCTGGTTCATCGAGTCTACACCCAACACATGCAATAGAAGTGACTCAACGCAAATACCAGAGATATGGAAGATATTATTACCATCAGTCTTATCAGAGGAGGATAATAAATAATCTTAAAATTCTATTTCAATTCACGTACATCATAACATTCTAACAAGTTACTTACTTTGACTATAAAAACACTCGTCTTACTTCCCATCTGATTGTATTTGATTGATAACACTAATATTATTATTTCTGAATGTACATTATCTTGTACTACTGATTTTGTTCAAATGTCTTATCATCAATTTCACTCATGTATATAAATGAAGCAAGAAAGTTGTGTGAGCGACTTGATATGATTATGAGTGGCAATAAATTGTGCTCGAAACGTCATCAGTTAATATTACTGTATAACACTGTGTGGTTTATTAAAATAAAACCTTATTTGTAATGGACAAAATGAATAGCAATCACTTGCTACTGTATATATCAGCTTGAATTTAACGACGGTAGTAGACGACAAAAATTTTCTAACTGGCCAAAGAGAAATCAATTCTACATACGTGTCTCATTTGCCTGAAACTATGATATATATAAAACTATTATTTGATAACGAAGCCTTGATTGAACAACAACTAGGGTCGAAAAATCAGTTCAAGTTGCCATACAATCACAGTATAAAGGCAACTTATCGCTCTTAATCATATGAAGGTGTCCATATAACTTTCAGATTTTGTTTATATTATTCCACTACTTCTTTGCCTTTGGTTTTATTATTAGCAATATTTTCTATATCTTCAGTGTTGGTATTGCACCATTCCTATCGCAATTTCTGGTGTAGATTAGATGGACAAAGACTCGTTAATCAACCTCTCCTTCCGCCTAACTACAATACCTTCAAAGACTGTAGTTGTGTCTTGTAGTGACCCATTTTATTACTCATCATCGTACTATACTTTCATTGTGTAATTGTACTTTGATTTGTTTATTACTCTAAATCTTGCGTAACAACAGTTGATACAGTTGTACTCGCTCAAGTTTTGAATTTTGATTACGGCGAGAATACACATTCCTACACCTTCTCAAGTGTCTTCTGATATACGTTGTGTGTATCGAGTAAGCACAACGTTAGGACACAATTATAAACGAGAAGTATTACGATATACGTATACGCTAGTTTAATCAAAATACAACAACAACAACAACAGTCTCACCATGTATGATTGTGTTTAAATGAGTTCATAGAAGTTACTGGATTTTTTTTCTAAGTCAGTCACTTTTATGGTCAATCAGTCTCACTTGGCTAAACTTACGCTGGAATGACCTATGAAGCTGATCTCATAGTCACTGCAACACATTTTACACATTAGGTGATTTTAACTCATCGGCTCAATAGGTGAACATCAAAACAAAAACGAAAGCATAAAAGAAAGTTTACCCATCAAGAGCATTCGAAGGAATACTCGGGTGTTAAGAAAACTACCGCTACTAATTCATATCAGCTAAGAAAGGTCAAGATTCAGAAAATAATATCACAATAAACCTTTACAAGTGCATCTTTTAGATATCTAACGGTATCCGACTGCTGAATACCAACTCCACATCAACTATGAAGGCTTAAGGAGAAAGTGGTAGTGTTAATTCACACACAATAGGCGTGAATCAGTTTTGTTTATAGTCGCCAACATTTACACTCCTGAACTTACTTCTACTTAAGAACTACTATCGGAGTTAATCAGGAAAAGCTTTTAGTTCTTTATTCTGGATTGACAGTTTATGATTACTTACAGGTACCTCGCAGGTAATATTAACTTTAAAATCCTTACACGTTCTAAATTTAGTCTCTATATGCTGCACATATACCAATGGCCAATTACTAAGCAGTAGATCATTATATACAAAGCTTCGTGATTTTGCTAACTTTCAAAGGGTTATTGAGACTAATCTATTCCTTTATACTGATTTTTGAAGTTACTTACGCTTCTGATATCCGAGATGTGAAGCGAATGATGAAAGTTTGTAAACGCAGTAAAGGCAAATTGTTAGTAGCAAAGCAAAGCCCGTGGAACAGTGAATAGTAGTATCAACAGAAAGTATTGCATCAATAGAAAAGAAGCCTAAGCCAAGGCTTTTTTACATTGTAATTGACTTGAAAGGAAGACCACATTGTACCAAGATGTTGATTTACGCCTTCCATGATAGGCAATGTTTCTTACTCCTTAGACACACACAAATATTCACGACACACACAGAAAGCGTCTCCCCTACTATGTATGATTATAACTTCTGTTACTAACTTTATTTAGTTTAATAAGCATACTAGTGAGAATTAGGACAGCGAACTGGTTATTCTCACTGTTCAACTACAGTTTTTCCTGAAATGATTACGTACAGCTCCATCAGTGAAGCTTTCAAAGAGAAGTTAATTTGCAGAAGAACAATTATCCTTATCAACTGATCTGAATCTGAGTAGCGACGATGTCAAAAAACGTATCTATTCAAGCAAATCTAGTGATTTGCACGGGTTCAGTTAACGACACTAAGACCTTAAGATTAAGAAGACCTACATCCTGGCAGTTCAATGAACAGAGAACGTAGCATTCTTAGGGAGAGCGATACTTAAGACGATCGTTAGCTTACATAAAATGACTTTGTCTCGTATAAACACAACTTAGATGCACTTAACTATATATTTATGTAAAACTTTGGATAATTGCGGTGTTTTGTCAGTAAATAAGTTGTAAACCACGATTATTTAAATAAATAAAAACAAACCTTGTGGTCCACCATTCGAATAATTGCTAAAAACGACCTTGAATCGTGAGATAATATTGATACTTTAAAACCTCATGACATTGAAATGCTGAAAATTAATTTGTGATGAAATTTTGCAGTTTTAGAAGATAGCATCACACAGACAACCGAAAATTAACTTCTTCAATAAAACCGAAAGTCTAATATGAAGCAACTTGTTGTCATTACTTATCAAATAAAGTCACTTATTATTCCTGAAATTAACTTCATTGCCCCAAAGATCGGCTATCGGATCTTGTTGATTAGGTGCGATAGCAAGTCCTTGTTGATTTTATTGAACAATAAGAAGGGGTAAAGTAATGCTAACAATTCAGTACCCGTGCTCTGGCTGTCCTCCCGGTGGATGTGAAGTAGTGTGGCTATTTATCTTGTGGCTTCTTCATTAGGCATCGAATGATGACTTTCACCATGTAATTAGAATGGGTAAGCTTAAGGTACACCTTCGAACACACGTGCAATCTGACACACTGTCTTCTTAAACTTGGTTATTAGTGGACGACTTCCGGTTAGCAGTGCACACAACACTGATCAACAGGGACCATCATTGGGATATTCATTATTTGGGAAGATCCGGTGTGACTTGTGGACTGTTTTTGGTTCATGTCAAATGTGTATTTAGATTGTGAAGGTAATATACATGTGCTGTACTAACTCTGCATCCTCGGTAGCCAAAACCTATGTTTATTATTAGTATTCCTTTGGGTTCCGAGTGGGACATACGGCTACGACAACACATCTCCACTTTGCTCTATTTTCCACTATCCTTTTCAGATAACTGGCCGTATGACTGCCCATAATCTCCAATCTCCTCCTCGCCATAAGATATCTCGCATGTCACCCTCAATACGACAATCAACTCGTCGCTTCCCACTAAGGTTCCACTCGAGTGGCGGCCTTGCGCACCATGTCATTTGACGGTCCCTTCAACGTATATCCTATCCATCTGCATTTTTGTTGAACAGCCGTTTCCTAAGTGGCCTGTTACCAGAGTTTTTGTTTCTGATTCGGATTCTAAACACAAATTGTAAGTCAGACAGTAAATCCTTCTATATGGGGCAGAAACTTGGTGCGTCACGGAAAGGATTTCCAGCAGGTTATCAATGGCTTATCAGATTATCTGCTTGGGGAATGATCTGGTTGCAAGGTCTCTACACGGATCGCTCAAAGATTGGTCTGCATTACTGGTTAATTCTACCTTTTGAAACGCATCACCAGTATTCGCGATGCACGTAAACTGACCATTGTCCTCTACTTCAATATATCGAGGGCGTTTTACATGACATCTCACAGTATTCTCCATAGAAGCTGTGCTGCAACGGAATTTGCACTCTGATTCTTGATTCACTAAAATTACTTTCAAGCGATAGGTCTACACATAAATGCTTACCTCTGGTAAAAGATCCCTAACTGCTCTCAACCTCAAATTTGTTTGCTCCTGAAATAGTCATGAATAAATTGACTTAATAGGTATTATTAGCCTTGAAGTAAGTAGTCTGGCATCATGGTGGGCTAAAATCTGTCTGGAGTCTAACATTGCCAAATGCAGCTAGATTTGCGTTGCTGACAGTAATATCGACTTGACTTTTCTAGTAAATGGCCGAAAACTATCTGGACATCGCTGGGTCGTAGACATCCACATCAGGTGTTCTAGTAATTCAAGGTTTTCTGAACAGTCTCACTGCAACATTTTTAAAGTACGAGTGTTTCTAGGTCCCATCTTTCTCGATTTCCCTTGTTGTGAAACCAGATTTTTGTTGTGCAAACCATGAGTTTGACCTATGTTGGAATACTGCCCGTTTATTCCCAGTTGACTCTGAATGAATTGCATGCCTTAATTAGAGGACCTGCAACGATAGTCTACTTTAGGGGCTCTTGGGACACAAGACGGTCTTGACTATGCTGAGAGTTGCAGCAGACTAAAGATGCAACCAACTTGGAGAATACGGCCTAAAATGGACCTAATTTGCCAATACTAGTTGACTGGTCTTCTTTTCCACTCCCCTAGGTCATTAGTGAATTCACCCCTGTAAACAGTTAAAATCTTAGAAATAGTGACGACGCGGTTGCCACAGAACATTTTCAGAGTAAAAGCAGGAGAACTTCTCAAATAAGTCCTTGTTTATTTGGAGCAGACTGAAAGCCAATATGTGTAACGCAAGCGCACTCCAAGTTTCAGTCCCCTAAGTCACTAGACTCCTCAAAGATTATAATGCTGTCCTTAAGATTAAGGACATCTATACCTTCTGCTTCACCCTATAAATACACATTTGGTCCACTAAATATTTGATCAACAGCATGCTTCATCAATAAATGTTGATATTATTATGAGAACATACGAAATATTTCCAGTAAGAGCATAAACATAGGCGCATATGTGTAACATAGAAGTCGGCATAACAGAACCAGTTACTGTGTCAATAAAATCATGGTTTCTATATGACGTGAATTATGGTGATCGACAATTTCGATTACTATATTGTCGTGATTGACAGTCTCTATTACCTTACTGCTTAAATACCTAATGCTGTTTTTCAATATATATTATATGAATTACAAACAATTCTGCCGGACAAAAATTCCTGAATTCACCCCTATTTGTATTTTCGGTTGATTTCCCGTACTTCGGTCATTGCGAAATACTACTATTACAAATAATTATAACATTTTGGCGCTGCTATGGAATTAAATAATCTCAGAAAGTCACCTGTGAGCGTTCGCCTCGGGAAATCGCCAATTATCTTGAATGCTTTGACGCATGGTGCATGTCGAAGAATGTTGGTGATGACAAAATTACAGCTCATTTTAATGCTGCGATTGGGCTAAGTGTGAACAGTCTAATGAAGATGTTGTCATTTCGAGATAAACCAATTTCTCTGCCATATGATAAACTCTGTGGATCTCTAACAGATCACCTCCATATAACTACTTTTGAAATGCGAGAGAGAGATCAGTTCAAAAAACTTGTTCGTGCTCCCAACCAGAAGATCAGAGACTTTATTCTCCAGCTCCATATACAAACTTCAAAGTGCAACTTTGGAGATCAGTTCCATACTCAACTACGTGATCGTCTAATTGCTGTATAAATATTCCGAAGGTAGAGAAAGAGTTGATTCAGATTCCTTCCTGCGCCTTTAAAACTGCCCAGGATTCATGTATTACTAATATATACACAGCATAATCATTGTTTCCCGCATCTGCGTGATTATTGATTTCAATTACTGAATTCCCATGGTTTGTTAATATTTTTAAAATGTGACATTGATTTTCCTAACTGTATAAATACGGAGTTGTTGTTTAACATTTTCGACTGCTGTTAGAGACAGTAAAAGCTCTCGTATCAACGTCCAGTCTTCTTTCTTTGCCCTGCGTGCCCGGCGGTATTGTTTGTTGTTGTTGACGTGCGATTAGGACAGATTAGCCAGCGCATTAGTTAGATTCGCTCGTAGTCTACAAGGTCTTAATATCTCATACATTACAATTACTTATGAAGATGTCAACAGTAAATAGCCAGCTCTCACTATTTCGGTGTCTGATTTCATGCTGTCCACATTTGATAATGCAAGTGTTCATAAAAAGAAATCCAAACTGTCATCCACATGTAATGGAATCCAGACAGAAAGCAAAACAATCAGACCGTGTTTTTCATTTGGAGAGATTCATCTACGAAGCACTTGTCGTTTTCAGGGTGCTATGTGCCATAAATATGGTAAAAGTGGAAACATAAAGTCTGATTGACGGAGTTCAAATACTTATGCTACTCAGAATTCTCATGATTCTTCCAATTTGTCTGGTGAAAATGCAGTCAGTGTCTCTTCCAACTTTTCACAGCACTGAATCTCATCTGATGAGAATCTTCACTACAAGATCAGGCAAGTCTCACCATTTTATAATTGATACTAGGAGTACTGAATCTATAATTTCTAAGAAAGCACGCCCAGATAGACCCAACTACTGTAACGACAGAAGACAAGGGACAGGCAACAGACCGTTTATTGAGAAAATCAAGAGAGATATTTTTATGAATACTATTCGTTATTTTAAGCAGAGACACAGCGTTTTCTCATTGGTTGTTTCCTCGCTAAACGTTATTCCATCATCCTTTTGTGGCCATTTCTCTGAACGTCAGGCCATATATCTGTGATTCGTATCCGCTTTCGTAGAATCAATGCTAAGATCCTCTGAATGGGGCGAATACTTCACTACTGATGACCCATCGAGAGCTCCAAGCATCTTCTACCGGAGCTCAGACACATGCTTAGGTGCTGCCGACCCACTCCAAACACTAAAAGTTTCCCCAAATAGAAAGTCATTTGTAAAACTAGGGGATCGTACGAAACTAAAGGGACTCTCGACAAGTTACTTCAAAAACACCACGACTTTGGCACACTAAGTTTATTACTTAACACTCTTAGCTCCATCTCACAAGCTCGAGATATCTGTATGAGAAACGAAGAACGCATCGCAGTAGCCAGCCCAGCTAGGGAGTGTGCTCAAACAGAAATCTTAAAGAAGAGATTGAATCACGAAAATCATAGCATTTTTCTCCTTACAGACAAAGGTAGGCTATGCACTGATTCTGTAGACATGTGTGAATTATTCCACAAAACATTTGCAGCTAACCAACTTAAGCATACAGTTCAGTTACTCGGTATACACTCTGCTGCTAATATGGCACAAACTCCATCTCTACTCACACCAAAACAAATTAGTACCGTTGAATTCACTTATGCTAACATTAACCAAGCTATTAGAACTCTCAAAAGCTCGAAAGGTTTTGGCACTGATGGTATATCATCCTATTTTTATAAGCATGGTGGCCCTGACATTCACTTACTACTGCTTAAAATCTTCACAATGTCCCAAGAAACCCAAACTTACTCTGATAACTGGAAAACAACATTTATTATGCCTAAACACAAATCTGGCTCCAAAACAGAAGTCAACAAATACAGGCCGATCAATATCACATTTATCGC